CATGAACGACACGATCATCTTGAAGAATAACCTGGATGCTTCATAGCCGCGACTGTCAAGCGCCACGTTCGAGGTTCTTGCGCGTACCAGGAGTACCATGCGTCCTTTTAAGCTCGTAGCCGCAGAGGTACGTCTTCGCTTTACTGTCTGCGCGTTGATCACCGCACCCTCACTTGTGTTGTCTCCTTATTCTGCTCGTTCGCGCTAGCTGTAGATCTTAGATTCCATGGTAGACAGTCGGGTGTCAAGCTTTTGGTTGATTTGAATAAATTCTCCGTCAAAGCCGCTTGCTGGCGAAATACTGGGTGCTTCGTTATTTCTTCTGAAGGAATTGGAGTGATTAACATGTTGGGTTTCCCATCCGGACTTGTGCTGCTGGACAGGTAAGATGACCATGCAAGAAGTTTATTCACGGATACCCCTTTCGCGACTGCACATGCCTCGATACGCTGACCGCTAAGGCGTCCGACTTCACGCCTTTCAAGGATGGATAGTGGCGCATCACGTATGTCATGAAGGTGTCAGCGACGCGGGCGTTTTTGTTGTAAGCTTCCACACCTAGTCCAGTCAAGGCACCAAACAGCGCAGAGACGACAGCGCGGATCTTCGCTTGCGCCTTAAAGTCGAAGAAGTACAAGGTTAGTAGTGGTACCGGTTTCGCGGGGTCGTGGCCACTCAGTACTCGGACAACTTTGTGATATTCGGCTGGAGTATTGAAGATGTATGCGAATGCCTTGTTGGTCGACGTCATATTCCATGCGCCTCTATCGAAGGTTTTTTGGACGCATATACCTGACCCATTCGCGTGCTGCGCTCCTCCACGTCAAAAGGAATGCGATGTCAAGTTACCACCCACACCTGTCTTACCCATGACTCGATCGAAAACGCGATTCACGCTAAGGATACCGGGCGAGGCGTCTACCGCTTTCGGCTGTCCATCGAACGTTGGTGGTCTTGAGGACAGTCGACCAAGTCAATCAGAGGTGCAGCTGGCGTCTGAGATGGTAGAGAAGGTCCCTGCTGTTGTGAAAGCTGGTCGAGAAGTGCCGCTGTTGGTGATGAGTGCGTGATTAGCGCAAGGGCAACGGCAAGCAACGAACACGTGGTAAACAGGGTTCGCGAAAATCCAGCTTTTCGGATTTGAGTGGGTGGGTAGAAAAAAACTGGGTATATCTGTTGAATGACGTCATTTACACAATTATCAAAAAATATTGCCACCTCAGAGAAATATGGAGCGGTAACAGATGATTTAGGGCGGTTAAGGAAAATTTAGTTGCATTTAACCGAGTTTTGAAACGGTTTAAGGGAGAAATATGCTCTAATGACAGCTGGTGGCGGTTGGGGCAGCTCTTTTCAGCTATTTAACCAATTTTCGGCTTGCTGGACCGCGTTATCTAATTTGCTTCGTATGACGGTTGGTTTGTGGACTACGCAAACCACGATATGTTTCGTATGACGGTTGGTTTGTGGGCTACACAAACCATGATCTGTTTCTATAACCAAAGCAATACCAAACCCACTACAGCTTTTGCCGTCAACTACAAAAAACTTTCCAGTTACCCCCCTTACCTCGCGATCATGGTCTTTTCGTCCCTCTCATCGCTCTTCTACTAGCCGCCTGGTAGATCAACTGACTTCAATCTCTTATCGGACGTATCAACACTATCGTCACCAGCGGCTGAGCGTTCTCATCCATCTACCACGGATAAAGGGCCGACTCAGCAGGCAAGTGTGGCAGGCGTCACGTCGCCATTTCCGTCGACGAAGCGCGGACGATGCAAGGATCCTGCTTGGGACAAGGTGGTCGTGGCAAATGGAATTGTTTCCTGCCAAAACGTGCGAGCGAATCATTCACCAGCTGGGTGAGACGCATGTTGAGCGTGTGCGTCATCACCTCCAGAAGAAGTGCACTAAGCGGCTGAAGACTAAGACCATAACCTCATGTTTTCCTGCTGTACTGAGTGCTCGGAACGTAACAGAGTTCAAAAAGATATTTGCCCTGTGGTTCTACTCTACGGGAACGGCGTTTCATAAGGTGTCGTATTCATCCTTGTTGCAAGGGCTCCAGATCTTGCATCCCGGAGTTGAGATCCCATCTGCTCGCGAGCTCGCAGCGGTACTGCTGGAGATGTGCTATAAGGATTTTAAGATGAGGATGTCACGCGGGCTGCAGGGCATGAATTACACTCTCAACTCGGATGAATAGACCGAAATCAAAGGCAAGAGCGTAATCAATAACGTTCTAGACTTCGAGGGAGAGAGCTACTTTCTCGAGTCTCACTACACTGGGAGCACCTCACATGACGCCGTTTTCCTCGCTGCTGATGTGAAGCGAGTTCTTCGATCGGTGAAGCTCACGACCATTGTCGCTGTTGTTACCGACAGCAAAGCGTCGAGCCAGCTGATGTGGTCGACGCTGCAGAAAGATTTTTCGACATTGTCTTTCATGGGTGTATTTCTCACGTGATACATCTAATTGAAAAGGACATGATGACCAAAATAAAGTGGCTTGGGAAGCTACAGGAAAACCGCCGCAAACTGGTGAAGTTTTTCAAGACGAGCCAGCTGCTCTTGGCGGAGCTACGTCGACTGCAACGTCTTGAAGACAAAACCGCATTGGTAATGCCTGCTGACACGAGGTGGGGTACAAGTGAAAAATGTTTCTCCTCTGTGCTGAAATCGGCGCCTCTCGATGGTCAGCGGTCGCGACTTTCTCAAGGCGAAGTCCAAGAAAGAGAAGGCAAAGCGGCGGGCGGTTTACAACGTGGTCGCTTCAATCTAGTTTCTTCCGAACTTGATAAAGATCATTGCTTTGTTGGGTGTGTTTTCCGCTGCCCAGAAGATGTTCGAGCGCAGCTCAAGGCCTATAGCAGATGTCTACAGGATGTTTCTGGAGCTTCCGCAGAAATACAGCGAGATGAATATGCCTATATCGGAGTTTGGAATCTTTAGCAGCATTCTGAAAGATCGATTCAACTTCGTCGATGAAAATGCGTATGGTGTATCCTACCTTCTCGACCCGCGATATGGTGGCGAGGGAATGGATGATGACACTAGAAACAGCGCTGCTGATTTTATCTGCAACTGGCACGGACCTGAGCACGAAAACACAGCAGCGATTGAGCTCATGCGCTAACAAGCGCTTCTTCAGAAAGAAACACGAGAAATAAAGTTGGTGAGGGACAAGCGCGTGGGTGTGCAAGAGTTCTGGGGTGGTTTGCAAGGCTTCCCTCTGTTGCGAACGGTAGCGACGCGTAGGTTTGCCTTGTCAAGCTTAAGCGCTTCTGCCGAGCGAAACGTTTTGACTCACAAGCTCATCCATTCGTCAGAGCGAAACCGTCTCAGAGGAAGAAACGTCGAGAAGCCGGGTTTTATCTTTTTTAACGCGAAGAGCATTGACGCTGACGATATTGCCGAGTTTAACGACGTCTAAGACCTCGCAGAAACAAGGCCTGACGAAGAAACCGGCAGCCAGGACAACGCGTTTGAGTACTACTCAAAAGACAGCTATAACGCAAAATAGAGCTTCCAATATGCAGTTTATCTTCGCTTATATACTTAAGCTAATGACAAACAATGGGGTCTTCATTCATAATACTGTGTAGCCAAAGTGAAGATCATAGATCATAAATATTGTAGCCAAAACGAAGACTATTGACCGTGAGCTGTTTTGCCAAAACGAGAACCATGGACCATAAATACTGTAGCCAATACGAGGACCATGAACAACAAATACCCGTAGCCAAAACAAGGACCTCAACTGGGACCTGCATTCTCTATACACTATTACTTAATGTCATATCCAACGTGCCATATTGTAGTGCTGCCCAACCTATGCAATAGAATTTTCCGCCTGTTAATTCTACTAAGGTGAAGTCTCTATTGTTTTCAGAACTTTTTCTTTGCATAATCATTTATAGTCACATACAAATGTTATGAGGTTAAGCTGCAAGAATAAAAGTTAGAGCTGAAACGTACAGACTTCCTTTTTATTTTTATCAGAAAATCACTTAATCTCAAGAACAATGCAGTAATTTTAATAAACGTTTTTGAAAAGCCATTTTCTACTTTGTAGCCTTTAAAAAAGGGCCTTCTTAGCGCGCTGGTACAGATGCACTTTTAGTTCTTCGTTTTAAAAACTGACTGTATAATGTAGCTTGGCCGTAATATTGATTAAAAAAACTGAGAAGTTAACAAAGACTAAGTTTACATTTATTTAAAAAATGAAAAAATGAAGTTTGCTAAAACAATAAATCTTCGTAGTCACTGGTACTGTCCCGGTCCTCCTCTTTTGAGTCATATTCGTCGAATCCACATAAATTGCATGCTAGGTTCTGTTCTTCTGCAGCTCTGCGTATGCAGCAGGAAATACAGGAAACCTGAATGCAGGGCATGTTGCCATCAGCTCACGGGAGTTGATGTGCTGCATAATGCAGCTCTCGCAAAAGCCCTGGCGACACTGTGCAAAATGAACAGGACATGTCACCCGTTCGTGGTAGATGGGAGAGAGGGTATCACTAGAAACTGCGTCAGAATCATCTGCTTCATTCAGTAGTTCATGTTGTGTGTCTTGCCGTTCGCTGTCCTCGGCGAAGACTGTCTCACCGCTGTCTTGTAGAGACAAGGCGTGCCGCCACCTGTCGCTGCTCAACCGGAGGCCGAAAGCGGGTATTGTAGCAAATGACCCGCTTAATGTGCCGGCGTACTGAAGATGCATGGGCGAAGACGCGGCCACATCGAGTGCAGGTAAAGCCAGTCATAACATCTGCGTAATGCCTTAGCTATATTGCTCTTACTTTACTTTTATAAACAAAAAAACTGCCTAACAAAAGAGTGGGTGGGTGGGTCCTTCAATATACCCAAAACAAAAAAATTCCAAAACCTATTTTGCGAACCCTGGTGGTAAAGTCGGAGTCTGAAAAGAGCGATAAGCCTTACTCCTCGGAAGTCTTGACCCGGATGAACCGAACGAAAAAAAATATTTTTTCATCTGCGACGAGATGCTGAAGAAATTGGTCGAGCAGCCAGATGTTTGCCTGTCGGTAGTACTGCATCACCGAATGTCGAGCTAGAAGTTGTCCCTTTCGGCCTTCCTTGATGGCGAGGTACATGCCAAATTTGTCCACCGCACCTTCTAGAGCCAGCGCGGCCGTATCGCGGCTCATATACGCCTCCAAGTATTTCCACGTCACATCTTCGTCTTTTAGAAACGCTAGAAACGAGCGTGCTGCGCTTTCCCGAGCGTGCTATGTGTTGGCGGGCGCAAGATCGCTGAGGTACATACTGAGTCGAAGATGTCAGAGCTTTCACATTATTTGAGAAATATGCTATTGACTTACAGTTTTGTAAAAAGGATTATCAATAACTGGACCGCCTCTCCGACTCGAAATGTCGGAGATGCTGTCTATTTACACAGCACCTTTCTGATTGGACAAATATCTACAGCTACTCTGCTTTCATTCGCTTAAAGCTATCAAAAGCGGACTGAATACACTTCATTGGCTAATAATGTGAATAGAAACTTCAAGTATGGTCGAAGATTTGACTATATTCATCCATACCAAAATTTATCGGACCGGATTTCCTTATCGGACATGTACCAAATGCATGGTACATAATAATAACAACCCTCAAAACTAATATATAAAATCTAAAATTAGATGTTGTGGGCCACACACTAACATTTTTTATTTTACAGCAGGCAAACCCAAGGCAGGAGAAAGGTGGCGAGGGGCGACGACGGCGGCGGCGACACGTGTGGCAGGAGGGTGGCAGCGACGAAAAGAGGAACGACAGCAAGGCCACAAAGGGCAGCAAGTGTGGAAGGAGCAAGGGGGACATCAGCAGCGGGCGGACCCTTAAGGACTGTGGCGGCTTGCCCGGCAGGGTGGGCGGCAGGCTGTCCGTTGGGTGGGTTCCTGCAGGTGGCGCTCCGGACTCCGGCTGTACGCTACCACCAGCAGCAAGGATGCCACCGCCAGGCTCCGTGCAGACCCCGCAAGAGCTGTTGCCCCATTCGGCAGGGCGGGAAGCATGCTGCCGGCTGGTAGCCCGCTGGCGAAGCACCAAGTCCAGATGCATGTCCCGTCGTGTCGATATAGAGCTCGATGCTCTCAGTAGCTGCGTGTAGCTATCGAGCGTTATATAATGTAAAACATGTCCAAGTAATTGATGCAACTTGTTAATGTCTCTTTATAACGCGTACAATAATAAGAATTCGCAATGCACCACCTCATGGAAGCTATTAGAAGTTACAAGCGTAGCTACTGCATCTCGTCATCACAGAGGCTCTTAATTGCATGCATCATGTCGCCATTTAAGCGCTTTCGAGAAATTGCTACGATATCAATACAACACATTTTAAAAGCGCTTATGGAGTTGCTTGTACCGACATAATTACGCCGGTCGGATTAATGAAAATATGCGTGTGATAACGCCGGCATCTAAATGTCTGTAAGAAGATACATAAATTTTCCGTGCCCCATGGACCTAATACGTCCGATGTGGAGTTTAGATGACCAACCTAACCCTTGACGGATTGATTGGCCAAAACTGACATATTATTTGGATATGATTGGTTATCCAAAACAAATAAATATATGATTGGCCATTAATGTTGATACTAAACTTAAGTGAGATCTGATAAGTGATGATATTCATCCATAGCTGTAGGTCTTCGTCCAGCTTGCCCTCATAGGACGGTGGTTGATGCTTGCGGGCCAGGGTTGGCCGTGCGGTGAACGCGTCGATGCGAGCTTGGCTAGCAGCCATCTGCTGATGCATAAGGCCTTGGAACTCAGACCAGGGATGACGAAAAAATAATACACCTAATAATTAATTCGAATTCTAAAACTCAAAAATTAATTCCTACATCACCAATCCTTATTTGAATTTGTCAAAAATTTTATATTAATTGAGTAAGGGAGCCCAAAGGTCTAATCACGTTTGTCCTGCACCAAACATTTGCCACAGCACCCCAGATCACGTGCTAAACAAAGGAAACAGAAGTGCACAAGCCAATTTAGCAGCCAGCCACCAGTTACAGCACTTTTCGCGCACGAAATAGTCCTTACAAGCAGTCAAATTTGCTCCATGCTCTTCACTACAGAAGGAGAGGGTATGTACAAGTGCACAAGGTGCAACAAGCAGTACAAGAAAGGAAATGGCTACACGAATCTACTGAACCATTTGCGTCGCAACCATGAAGACTACGAGCAAGATGCAGAGGAGACTAGACGCCGTCAGAACCCGCTAAGCCTACGTCTCGTGAGCCAGTGCACACGGGGCCTGCGTTATTGGGTCGAGTGGGCTGTCTGCGACCGCCTCCCGCTTATCTTTGTAGAGCGGAAGCTGCAGCGGGGCTGCCGTAGCTTTAGCGTCAGAGGAAGACGTTCGACTCAAAGAGTCACTAATACTAAGTTCCTTATCCAAAGGACACTTACAGCCCAAGACCAGGGCTCAAAGTTAACACCTTAACTTTTATGCTTCAAAACCAGAAGTGTTTTATTTACTATTATTGCGGCCAAGCCGCCTAGGGGTAAATGTATCTCTTTAACTATCTAGCATAGTTAAACCTAATCAAATGCATAACGTGTGGCTTTCAGCCAACGTACTGAGATACCTTGTTAACTCTCCAACTTATGTACTGAGAGTTTGTTAACTCTCCGGGTACTTCGTACCCCTGTGTGCTCCACACCATGTAACCCCGTTACACTCTCCCCCACTAAGATGAGAACATTCCGTTCTCGAAACTCTCCTCAGCGAGGTCACGTCTTGTTAAGACGGCGGAGGTTACTACACCTCACACCAGCGTTGTACAGCTCCGTGAGCTCACAAACGCCTACGCATCGTTGATGCCCAACTTCTCGTCGTCGGCCCACGGCCCAATGCTCCAAGCGCAGCGCGCATCTTGCTCTCAAGCGGTCTCAGACCTACGCTCGCGCTCCGCGCCTACTCCAAGAGCTGCAAACCGCTTAGAGCAATGCTCTTGACTCATTCGAGTCGTCGACAACAGCTCAGCGGTTGAACACTCGCTTCACAAGCGATAGGTCCGTGGTTCAAACCCACTAGGGGACAGCCCTCTCGTTCCATGAACGATTGTTCACGCTTGGACAAGCTTAAGGGCAACACCCTTTTAGCTCAATGGTTGAGCGCTGGCTTTGAGAGCCACAGGTCGGTGGTTCGAGCCCACCAGGGCACAGCCCTGTCGTTCCATGAACGATTGTTCACGCTTGGACAAGCTTAAGAGCAATCCGCTTTTAGCTCAGTGGTCGAGCGCTGGCTTTGAAAGCCACAGGTCGGTGGTTCAAATCCACCCGGGCGCAGCCCTCTCATGACATGAGTAGTCCGTTCTCGGACTGACGTACGGGCATCGCCCTTGTAGCTCAATGGTAGAGCTCCGGCCTGTCAAGCCAAAGGCCAGTGGTTCGATCCCCGTCCGGGACACCACTTTCGCTGTTACAGCGCATCCACATTTGGATCATGCTCATCGAGCAAGTTGTTTCAAAACAACTATGCGTCTATCGAGACGCTTGTGCCTGAACCTTGTTCAGCACAACACGAAGCACCTGCTTCCTTCGGGACCATGTCCCTAACACTACGAGGTCTCTCCACCTCCTGCTCCCGCTGCGAGCACCGCTCATACGTACGAGCTGGCTGCTGCAGCTACTGGTCAGAGCCTGAGCTCAACTACTGACCTCATCGCTCCCCACTCTAGTGGGAGGCGCCCAGCGCCTGGCGACGCTGTCGCACGCCATGGTGGCGCTTCGGCACATGATGTGCCCGGTCGTAAGCGTCAACGACGTCAGGGCAATCTTGCCGGAGGATAACCTCAAACTCCCATGAGTTCTGTGAGTGAGGGTAACCCCTCCACTTCACTAAGTACTGGGTACGACCCTGGCGTCTACGCCACGCCACAAGGCGTTCCACGTGAAAGTGGAGCTCACCATGCTCATCGAGCAGAGCAGGAGGAGGCCTTGCCTCAGCTGGGCTCTCGCGGGGAGAGTCAGCACTTGCCGGAACGGCGTCTGCGTCCATACGACGCCGGCGTCCACGACGCGAACGTTCACCGCCCATCGGTCGATCTCGAAGAGATGATCCACCTTGTGGATAGGTTGAAGCCACCACTGTTGACTCACAACCAGGTCTCGGACCTTGAGCGTCCAGCTGCTCGGCTGAACGTTCAGCTTGCCTTGCTCCTGCATCTCGAGCACTTCGCTCCGCGACCTGTGGCTCTGCCACATGCTGTTGATCAGCCATCAGTGGATCCACCACTTGCTGTCGTTCAGCCTCCCGTGGCTCTACCACCTGCTGCCCTGCAGCTGTCCGTGGCCCAGCCACCGTTGGTGCCAACGCCTCCGCGCTCACCTGAGCAGGGTCTTGGTATGGCTTAAGCAAGCCGACATAGAAGACCGGATGCGTGCGCATCTTCTTCGGAAGGTTGAGCGTATACGCTAGGCCCTTCCTGGCCACGACCTTGAACGGTCCTATGAACCGAGGTCTTAACTTCGTCTTGAAGACTGCAGACACTGCATGAGTAGGTAGGTTTTTAGCGTTTAATAAAACTTGGTCACCGACCTCAAACCTCTCAACATTGCTTCTGCCCTTGGCATCTGCATGTTCCTTCTGCGTGTCTTGGCTTTCAGCCATAGCGTCGCGTACTTGACGCATTACGCTCAGTCTCAAAGAGACAAAGTCATCGACTTGCTTGCGAACCGCAACAGGGCTGACATCAGCTAGCCGCTCGGCTATCCCTCTCCCACCAAGCCCTGAGCCACTGCGTGGCGGCGTCAGTGGGACGCGAGGGTTAACCAAGCCGTTCACATAGAACGGAGTGTAGCCTGTCGAGGCGTGCACTGCATTATTTAATGCGAACTCAACGAGTGGGAGCATCTGGCTCCAGCGTTTTGGCGCCTCAGCGCATACGCTTCGGAGGGTATCCTCCACAACGCGATTCACGCGTTCGGTTTGACCATCGGTCTGCGGATGGTCCGCCGTGGACATGTCCAAACGAGTGCCGAGCACTCTGAAGAGGGACGTCCAGAACTTCGCGGTGAAGCGCGGATCTCGATCCGAGACAATTGCCTCAGGCAAGCCATGTTGGCGAAAGACTCGGTCTAAAAACAGCAAAGCTGTACCTTCACCATCAATGGTGTCCGGCACTGCCGCTAAATGAGCCATCTTGCTCAATCGGTCTACAAAGACCACTATACCTGTGTTTCCCGCCTTATCCTTGGGAAGGCCAAACACAAAGTCCATACTCATGGACTGCCAGCATCCCTTGGGGACAGGCAAACTCGCCAATGGCGCTGCCGTGCTCGGCGCGGACTTTGTCCGTTGACACGTCTCACACGTGCGTACATAGGTGCCGACCCACTTATACATCTTGGGCCACCAGTACATCGAGCTCACCGAGCCATAGGTCTTCTCCCGACCTAAGTGCCCGCCCACGGGCGTATCAGGAACCTCATAGAGGATTCGATACTTTAGATCCTCGTCATGAGGAACGACTACACGAGGGTTATCCTCAGAGTCGGTGCTGTAGTACAGCAGGCCGCCATCGAGCGAGTATCGATGCAGCCTCGCGCGTAAGCGCCCAGACAATTCCTTGTCAGAGTCTTTAAACTCTTCGCTCCCAAGAGCCCGTAGCAGCGCTACGCACATGTCGTCTTGTGCATACGCTCCGCGTATCAAGTCAGGCACTGACGACGTCATTGTCGTGACATGAGCTAACTCGTAGTCCGGCCTGCGTGAGAGCGCATCGGCCACTACATTAAGCCGCCCCGGCTTGTACTTCACCTCGAAGTTATACTCGGCAAAGAAGGAAAGCCATCTTGCCATTCTCTGAGAGAGATGAGGCGACTGTGTCGCAGTGCGTAACGACGCATGATCAGTAAAGATCACAAAAGGCTTAGAGCCTAGCAGGTGTACCCTGAATTTGACTAGAGCATACTTCATTGCAAGTAGCTCTTTGTCATGAACTGGATAGTTCTTCTCTGCAGCTTTGAGCTGGCGAGACTCAAACGCGATCACGCGTTCACGCCCTTCGGCGTCTGCTTGTAGTAAAGCACAACCGATTGCAAAATCGGAGGCGTCACAGACGACGCTAAACGGACTATCCGGGTCCGGCAG